TTTGGTATCGGGGATTGAACTCGGGTCCTTGCACTTGCAAGGCAGGCCACCAAACTGCTGAGCTAAATCCCCAGCCCTGAAGTACTTATCTTTGCAGAAAAGCAATTTGAAGATCATGAACATGTTCAAGGCCTTGGGATTGATATGGGATTTGAATGTTGGTTGTCTGACCCTGCTATTCTTGGATTTTGTACTGTGTACACTGAACCATTTTCATTGATATGTTTGAAGTTATTTTCATTAGGGGAGCCTATGGCATGTGTGCTGCAGCAGCTCTTTGGATCATTGAAAGCTCTAAAAAGTTTGCCATCACTTTACTAGGCCATATAAAGCAAGAATAGTAGGAAAGTTAATCTGTTTATTAATGTAATGAATTTTATTACTTATTTATGTATTTGGTTTTTTGAGACAGGGTCTTATGTAGTTCAGATTGACCTTATGCTCACTGTGTAGTCCAGGCTGGCCTTGAACTTGGAGGTCCTCCTGCACCACCCTCCAGAGCACTGGGATTATAGGCGTGTGCTGCTTTGAAATGAATTTCATTTTTATTTACCTTTTTTTTGGGGTACTGGGGATCAATTAAACTGGACCTTGTGCTTTAGAGTGTAATGGTTTTTTGCGGGGGAGGTACCAGGAATGGAACTCTGGTCCTTGTGTTTGTGAGGCAGATGGCGGCATCACTGAGCTAAATCCCCAGTCCTGTAATAAATTTTAAAGTAAAAAAAATTTGTACTAATTGGGATGTATGATTGTTACTACTTAAACAATCTGAATAGCTACTTTTAAAATAGCCTTTTGTGGAAATATTCTTTCTAGCACAGTTAACAAGTTTTTATTGTTTTATTGTCATGTGAAGTTTTAATTCTTAAGCATGTTCAGATAAATTTTAATCATTTCAACCTTTTCTTTCCTCTAGGAGCGTCAAGGTCGTGGGAAGTAAAATGCAGTTCTGCACAGACTGCAGCAACGGTTGCATCTGCAAATCCTAAGAGGAAAAAAAATGACCTTGAAGAGAATTAGGACTTTTTTCTTAATTTCATTGACTTCAGAGACGATTGCAGACTTGCAGTTTAAGTATTGGAATTTCACAAAAGACATAGGACTTAACTGGAAAATGAAAAAAAAAAAAAAAAAAAAAAAAAAAAAAAAAAAAAAAA